TGTCCGCTTACATATAGCCAGACAACCTCCTCCTTAATATCCGGAACCTCTTTGTAGACTATTTTTTATTTTTATTTTTTTACCCATGCCCTTCTAGGTGTTGGAGACCATCCCAATTTACCCAACCCTAGAAGAGTAAAAAAGAATTTGTAAAACTTAAAAATACCTGTTTTCAATTACAAAATAGTAACACAGAAAAACATGTGTAGGCAACGTCACACGATGTCACAAACAGCCTAAGGTGGCTGTCGCACAAGTAGCAAGGCTGCTGAAAGGTGTGGAAAGGTATTGGCTCTGATATCAAGTAGAAATATAAAAAGAAGAGAAATAAGAGAATTGTGTAAAGGCTTGAATGAGATTAATTACTCATTCATAGCTCTAGTATTTATAGATAAAAAGAACATATGCTCATATTACAAGAAAGGAAACTAATTCAAATCTAAATCAAATCACAACCTATTCTAAAGCATATTCTATAGCATAGTCAAATCTCTGCTATTATGGTAAGCCATTCCATAAATCGTAGTACCATATATGCTAACATGTATAAAGGATACCTCAAACATAGTGTGCATGATCAGTTGATCACTGTTATATTTAATCATACCAGTTGTATCAATTTCTTCCTTGTTTATCCATATTAAGGTACAAGGATCGTCAAAGTAATAGGACATCGGTTGTGAGTGATTGGTTGGTCTGTCTCAGAAGGCAAGAGCTCTTTGATTAAATTATTTGCTAATCTATGGGGATAGGAGTTATCTTTCTAAATTTCAATAGGTTTTAGGATGTGGAATTCTTATGAAAAGGCGAAACAGACCCTATGCATGGACAGGTGAAGAGAGAAATACTGATCATGTGGCATTGACATGGATGTGCCTTGAACAGCTTTAGAATTTAACTGACACCTTAAATATAATGATAAATCATTGGTTTTTAGTGGTGGCTGTCTGGTTGATGATATTGTTCATCAGGTTGCACACACCCTTATCTTATATGCTTGCTTATTTGGAAATTTAATTTAATTACTGTTGTAACATGATACTATCTGATCCTTTACATCAACGGTAGACAGCATCATGATATATGTAAAGAATAGTAAGGTGACCCTTTCTGTGTTGTGAAATTCATAGTTGTTAAAGGCTTAAGGCGCACAAAAGCGCAAATACCTCCCGGAGCTTGAGGCGCAAGGCGCAAGGCGAGGCGCGTGCCCGACTGAAGCAAGGCGCACGTTGAAAAAAAAAAAAAAAAACAAAATGCACCTAGTAAAGTATTAAAGATGCAATAGTATATATAAAGATGCAAAAGGCAACTAAATGACAAAGATGGTGTACTCTATGGGCTATACACTCACATATCAAGATAAAGATGGATACGGGCTACTGGCAGGAGATGTATAACAACATACATTTATATACACACACTTGCAGATAAAAATTATTCTAGGGATGAATAAGAAATGTGTGGGTAAATTCAATGGGGTTTATTGCCAATTAGAATAAGAGGAGCAAGTTGTCAAAACTTGATATCTCAAACTCGTTTTTAAGCAGTGGAATGAGGATGTCTTTGGGAATCTTGAATGGAGGAAGAATAGAGTCTTTGCTTATTTTTTTGAGATTGATCAGCTTGAGGAGGCGGGTGGGAATGTGGAGTCTCTTTCTGCTAGGAGAGCTTCTTGTCAGGCAGTTCTTGCTGAGATTGCTTGTATGGAGGAGATTTCGTGGTGACAAAAATCCCGGGCTCTTTGGTTGAAAGAGGGTGATCGCAATACAAATTTTTTTCACAGACTTGCTAATGCTCACAGAAAGAGTAATCATATAGGACGTCTACGGGTTGAAGGTGTGGAGTTGTGGAGGGAGGAAGAGGCGCGTAGTGGGATCGTTTCTTTTTATCAGAAGCTTTACACAGAACCTTTAGGTTGGAGACCTAAACTTGACGGTCTCCCTTTTGAGGCCATTTTTGTGCTGGAGAGAGATGGGTTAGAGTTTCCTTTTACTGAAGAAGTTCTTAAGGCTTTATCCAGTTGTAGGGCCAGACGGGTTCACTATGCACTTTTTAAAGGAAAGCTGGGCAGTTGTGAGAAATGAAGTGATGAGTACCTTTCAGGAGTTTCATTCTATTGGTGTTTTTGAAAAATTGCTCAATGCATCATTTATTGCCCTTATCCCTAAGAAGGGAAACGCTTCAGATATTAAGGACTTTCGTCCTATTAGCTTAGTGGGTTGTATTTACAAACTCATAGCTAAGGTGCTGGCTCATAGAATGAGAGAAGTTATGGATGGGATTATTTCAGATTCCCAGAATGTCTTTGTTGGAGGACGGTAAATTCTTGATTCAGTTCTTATTGCTGGTGAATGTGTGGATTTAAGGTTGCGTAGTGGTGTTCCTGGAGTTCTTTGCAATCTTGATATTGAGAAAGCTTATGATCATGTCAATTGGAATTTCCTTCTCTACTTGCTTAAAAGAATGGGGTTTGGAAGTAGATGGAGGACATGGATTGAGACCTGTCTTTCGTCTATCAAGTTCTCAATTCTTGTGAATGGTTCTCCAGCTGGCTTTTTCGGGTGTTCTCGAGATTTAAGACAAGGTGACCCATTGTCATCTTTTCTTTTTCTAATTGTTATGGAGGGTTTAAGCAGACTCATGCGCCGGGCAGAGAATCTTGGTTTTATCAAGGGATTCCGGGTGGGAAGAGATATTGACAATTAGGTGGAGATTTCACATCTACTTTTTGCAGACGACACTCTGGTTTTCTGTGATGCTGATGTGTCTCAACTTAGATACTTGAGATGCATTCTGGCTCGCTTTCAGGCAGTTTCCGGGTTAAAGGTGAATGTGGCCAAGAGTGAGCTTGTCCCGGTCGGGAATGTTGAGGACATCTCTTCTTTAGCTGTAGTTCTAGGGTACAGGGTGAACTCCTTTCCCATCCCTTATTTGGGATTGCCCTTAGGGATTTCTTCCAGGTTAGTGGGGAGTTGGGATTCTGTGCTTGATAGGTATGCAAAGAGGTTGGCTAGTTGGAAGAAGCAATATTTATCCAAGGGGGGTAAAGTAACTCTTATCAAGAGCACTTTATCAAGCCTTCCCACTTATTTTCTTTCCTTGTTCCAAATTCCATGTTCCGTTGCTGATAGAATTTAACAAATTCAAAGGAATTTCCTTTGGGGAGGAAGGAGAGATGAGTTTAAGTATCATCTTGTTAGATGGGAGCAAGTTTGCAAGCCTATAATGTTGGGGGGTCTTGGTATTTAGACGATTGATCCCTTTTAATAAAGCTCTTCTGGGTAAGTGTTTGTGGAGATACGGGAAGGAAAGACGTCGTCCTTGGCGCATATTAGTGTCTTGCAGGTATGGGGAAGATGTTGGCGGTTGGACTACACGTCCCGTTTCTATTGCGGGAGGAGTTGGGTCTTGGAAATCCATTCGACAAGGATGGGATGTGTTTTCCTCTCATATCAGATTCAGAGTTCGGGGTGGTAGTTGCGTTCGCTTTTGGGATCATCTTTGGTGTAGGAACCAGCCTTTATGTCGTACATTTCCCAGGTTATATAGTATTGCAGTTGATAAACATGCCATAGTTGCTAACTGTTATCATCTTGATAATAGTGGGATTACGTGGAATGTTCATTTTCGACGTTCATTTTAGGATTGGGAATTGGAAGAGGTGAGCATTTTCTTGGATCAGTTGTATCAGCAAGAAGGAATTGGCAGGGGTTTTGACAATTTGATTTGGATTCCCTCCTCTCACGGGTGTTTTGCAATAATGTCCTTGTTTTTATGTCTGTCTAATTTTGCATCCTAAGATTTTCCTTGGAAGACTATTTGGTGCTCTATGGTTCCTACTATGGTGGCATTCTTTGTATGAACTGCTGTTTGGGGAAAGATTCTAACGATCGATAATTTAAGGAAAAGGGGAAATTTTCTTGTTAATTGGTGCTGTTTATGTAAGCAGGATGGGGAGTCGGTTGATCATCTCCTACTACATTGCTCTATAGCGTACGATTGTTGGAATCTCATTCTTGGCCTATTTGGCATGTGTTGGGTAATGCCACGTTCTACTAGGGAGCTAATTCATACTTGGAGAGGTTGTCGTGTGAGTAGGGTGTATCTGGAAGGAGCGAAATAGTAGAATGTTTGAAGGAAAGGAGTTGTCTATAGCGACACTGAAACTTTTTATTATTCGCTCTCTTTTTTGTTATGTGAATAGAAGTTCGTGTTCCTCTTCTGTTGATTAATTTCTTTTTTGGATTCTTTGGGGCCTTAAACCCTGGTTCCTTTGTCTACGGGACGCGTTCCCCTATTGAACGCCCTTTTTAATTTATTATTACTTATAAAAAAAAAAAAAAAAAAACAAATTTTCATACAGGCGCGCTTGTACTGCGCCTTTTCCTCAAAGGCGCTCGCCTAGCTAAAGTGCCTCGCCTTAAGTCTTTCAAGGCGCCAAGGTGGCGCCTGGAGGCGCCTTGCGCCTCAAGCACTCGCCTCCGGCGCCTTTATGAAATTTAAAAAGCCTAAGATAATTTTGATTGCTAAACAATGACTTCTTTTTGAGTGTATATATATCTGTGTGAAAGTGGCCGTTGGGTATTAAACTATGCAATCTGGATTGCTCTTTGCTAATGCATCACATTCTGCTAAATGCCTGTCATTTATTAGCCATGACAGCTATTACTTTTTCAGCTTGTCTTGATAAGTTAGCTTTCTCAGCAGTGCATGTAAAAATGTTGAGGTGCAATGTTTTGAAGAGCTAAGAATTTGGTAACTGAAACTTGTGAATCAAATTTAAATTGAGAAAGGAACACTTCACCCATAGAAGTAAAAGACTCCTGAAAAGGAAATAATATTAAGAAGATATGGTCAAAACATAGGAGCGGCCGCAGATACTGAATTTTTGTGTTTGTTTCTTGTCTGGATAACCTGTTAACATTCAGTGCTTGACCACACTGCGGCGCTTACTTGTATTATGCTTTACAAAGATTCTGACAAAAATACTGTTTTTTCAGTCAAAAGGGGCACTTCAAAGGGATGCTTTTCCATCGCGTAATAAAAAATTATGTGATTCAGGGAGGGGATTCCCAAGGACTTGGAGCTGCTGAAGATTGGACGTCAAAAGGGAAGCATCAGAGTCGACTTGCTATAAGGTTCTCTTGGTTTGACTCATTTTATGCTAGTTACTGATGGTTGCTTATTTTTTCATTGTACTGATAATTGTCACTCATAATTATCCAGTCCAAAGCACGAAGCATTTATGCTAGGAACATCAAAGACAAAAGAAGATGGAAAAAGATTTGATCTGTTTATTACGACTGCACCGATACCAGATTTAAATGATAAACTTGTAGTGTTTGGACGGGTCATTAAGGGAGAGGATGTAGTGCAGGTAAGAAATCTGTGCGTTTATATTATCTTGTGCTATTCATTAATAGATAGTACTTTGACCTCATAATGATAAATGATTAATCTGCTGTTTAATACTTCAAGTTGAACATTGACTATACTGGAACTAGGAATCACCCTTGAACTTATCAGAGTTGAAATTAAAATAATTAGCACAACATGACATTTATGCATTTCAGATTAACTTTTTGTGGTGGTTTGCTGACTATATGAAAGTTGAAAGAGCGTGTGCTGACTGTGTACAGTACCATTCTCACCATGAAGCACATCTGCCAAATTATACCCATTTAACTTGGAAGTGGCTCATTTTGTTTCCATTACAAGATTGTTTTTTTGAGGCATTATAAGTTGCATACTTGGGAGTTAGGACTCAAGTAATTCTTCAACATTATTGCATTATGGTCTCAATGTGTTTCACTTCCTTTCCACCAGTAGTTGGTGGGTCCTTTTATAGATGTTGTTGAATTTGCTTTAAGTATATCATATTTGACTACGATGCAACTCTCTAGGGCTAATTTGAGGACCATTCATCCTTTATTAGACCCCCCCCTGACTTGAACTTCTTGATTGAAGTATAATTAACTAATTCACCTGAAGTCAATTTGAAGTGGTGTTTGAAGTCTTAGGTTTTTCTCCTAATTTTCATGAATTAATTTTAGGTTCCGGAGTTGAACACTTAAGAGAGCAGAAAGTCTAAAACCTCATCTGTGCATTCCATCTATGTGTTGGATTCTTGGGTTTCACAAATATTTTACCATTTCAATCTTACAACTTCGCTGCTTGTGGTCACAGTTGAACTGAAGTTGCCTGTCCTACTACCGACCTGTTTATAACATAGAATCCAGTTGTTCTTACTTTGGAAAACATCTCTGTGATTTTCAGGAAATTGAGGAAGTGGACACAGACGAACACTATCGACCTAAATCTCCTGTTGGGATCATCAGCGTTGCTTTGAGGCATGAAACTTGAAGAGCTCTTCTTTGCCTGGTGGAGAATGTTTTACGCGGCATGTGGCCCTTAGAAGTTGTATGATCTAGTTCTTTACGATGTACTAAATTTCACATCCCTTCCCCTTTCCTCGGGTTCTTTCCGTCCCCCCCCACCCCCGCTGGGGGTGGGTTACTCTGTTTAGGTCTTGGGTGTTGTTCATTAACTCTTTTTTTTTTTTTTTTGGGTGAGGGGGTGTTCATTAACATGGGATGAGCTGCATATGGCATTTGGTTGATTTGATTTTATCTAATCATGTAGATGTGTAGTTATCACTTTTTTCATTTTTAAGTACTGAATTTGTAAAACTGGAAATTTAACGACAGACATGGAAGTTCAAATTATATTTCAATATGATCTTTCAATTAATGTTGTACAGATTATATTTTTTACCTTAATATCTTTTGCTCAATATTTTTATAAAAAAATGCTATAAAAATATATACTTCCCACCAATTCATAAAACTTGTCTAACTTGTCCACTTTGAGGGGGGTTTCTTCTTTGTGTTTTTTTCAGAAAATGCCATATTGGCCCTCAAAAATCCATAGGTGTCCAAAAAATCCTTGCTGCCAGGTTTTGCAGATTTTTAGTGCAAATGTACTTGGTACTATTTATCGATTTTTTTTTGAAAAGTGTGACGATCAATCCGAAACTTCCGGGGGTCTTCTGGGTGTATTTTAAGATTGTATTTTCAATTTAGGCAATTTAAAAACCTCCCGAAGCCCTATTTCCTTTCTTTGGGCAGCAGCTCGAAGAAATTTTTACCTCCTTGACCAGATTTTCTTGGGGGCATTCTGGGCATTTTACAATGCATTTTTTTTGTTTCCGTTCGCGATCGGGGTAGAAAACTTTATTTTGGGTGGGGGGGGGGGGGGGGGGTTGAGTTTTTCCAGAAAAGTCTGTTTAGATGTCCGTTTTTACTCTCAGTTGCAGCAGTAGTGGGTTGACGGCACTGTAGCTGTCACGGCCTTCGTCGGTCCGGCGCGACGTCGATTTTGTTTTTAACCTTTATCTGGACTCCAAATCAAATGAATTTTTTTTTGAAATTGATTAATTTTTCATTGTCTATCCAACGGTGTGCTCAGTTGCTCCCAGATATTTCTGGATAATTACCAGTTTACCCCTTTTAGCTTTATTGCTCGTTTTTCTTTGTTTTGTCGTTTCTCCTTCGTCCGGAATCCGAATAATGAAATTCTTGAGTCCATCATGATTAGTTTTTCATTGTCTTCCCAGTGGTGTGCTCGATAGCACTTGAATCTACTTTTGCAAAATGACCATTTTGCCCTAGGTTCATTTTTGTCCGTTTTGAAACGACACTTCCGCATTTGTCTTCCTTTGGGTTCCATGACCTCATTGAGGGTCACATTGGTGTCTTAGAGATGCATTGTATCTTTAGAGACCGTTGTTTCACTTTTCGCTTTCGCATTTCAAATCCGTTATCGGGTCATCTTTTGGTCATCACTGATGCACCAGGTTTACAAAACTTGAGCCGTCAGAGAAGACCACCCTAGTGCGCACTATCTCAATTGGGGAGAACTCATACCTCCCACACTAAAGCCGAACTTTAGCCATATCACAATAAGAATGTTCCAAGACTCCAAAATAATCAAATAAGTTCACAACTTATACGTAATTTATATAATGCACTAAGTAACATTCCATGCACAAGTAGATTGTATCCACACAACACATACTCTAAATCCACAACTACTATAGGATGACAATGTCGAATCTTCAAAATGCGATTCGTTACACGCTATAACAATATAATCCAATATTGAAAACATAGACTCATAAATTCATTATAAGTCAAAAGTCATGCTTTAAACATACTATCAATGTCAAATACATGAGTTAATTAATAATACCATAGAAACGGAATTTAATCTATAAACTAATTAAATTCCCTAGGTTTCAAATCTCAATCAAATGGCCTCCAATTAATACATGATAACAATATATCATGGTCATTACATACACTACATCAAAACTCGATTAGGCCATAAGAACAACAAAGTAGAATTTAATTAAATCATGATAATCAAATCCCTAACTTCTAAAACAACATCAAATGGTTCCAAATTAACATATGCTAGAGCATAAGTCATAGTTATCACAAATATCAAGTTAAACACTTAATTAGGCCAATGGAACCCTTAATTAGATTTTAATTAATCATTTTAATTAAAATCTCTAGATTTTCATACTTGTCCAAATGCTCTCAAATTAAAGTATGTTAAACAACATGCCAAGACATAATTTAAAAGCATATCACAAGTTAATTTCATACAAGGTACGACCATGGGATTTAATCTTTCACAAAAGATAAATATTAAATAAAAAGTGCAATTCTTATTGAATTAATCCCAATTTAATATATGTTAATAAACATATTAAAACTAAACCTTCTAGCATGCCACAATTTAAATATAAGCCATATGCATCTTTGAATTTTAAATCTTACACAAAGAAATAAATAATACTAACTTTCTAGATTTGATGTAAGGCAAACATATAAGTTGTATAATCAAGGGAAACACTCAATACAACACATACAAGGTCTTAAAACATTCCCTACCTCAATTTGAAATGAAAATCTCAAAAGCTATCAAAATGGAACAGCTCCGAATCTGACGAAACTACTAGGTTTTGTCGGGGACAACACGATGATCATAACCCCCAAGGAAGCCCTATCAAAATCACAACTTGACTTTAAACCCAAACTTGAAAAATGGTCAGAAATGGGTTCCAATAAGGGTGAAAGATGCACACCACCAAGACGAGTAACAAACATTAAGGCACTACTATGTTTTGACAAAGGAATGAAGCTCAAAAGAGGAGAGAGAAGGTGGAAGCCTCCCTTGGGCTGCCATGGGAGCTTCAGGTCGTGCAAGAGGTGTGGGGAAGATGAAAAATGAAATATCTCATCCCCCTTTTATAGAAATCTCAAAAAGTGCCCCGAACGGGCCCCGCCGAGTCCGAAAAAGTAAAATTTGAGCAGACACGCTCAAATGGAAAAACTCTGTGAATGAAAAAGATTTAAAATGAGAAAATATGAATAACAGAAGAAACGGCGTTGAAAACCGAGTCCCGAGCAGAAAGTTATGCCCCAAACAACTTTGGTACAAACTAGGGCCAGAAACTCTAAAACTGGAAAAGATCGACCAGAAGGGAATTCTATGAGTACACGACTCAAAAAAATGTGAAAATGAATCCCGTACGAGGATCCAGACTCAAAACAAGACATTTAGCAATAACTTTCATTAATTGCACAATGGTCCCTTCAAAAAGTGAAAACTGCGAAACTGCCCCAGAATGAAAATATCTTCCAAAATATATTTTCTTAGATACCCCTAAAATAAATATCTTCAAAAGATATTTACAAAAAACACCCCAAGAAGAGGAAATGTTTCCAAAGAACTATGCATCCATGCCTCTATGGACACCAGGAGCAACCAGAGTACTTTCTTACAAAAGTAAAGATACGTATTTCATGGAAACCACTGAGAATGAAGATACGTGAAGTCAAAACCCAACTCCGAATGCAAGAAGTGTGGTTTTGCAAACAAAGTGACAAACGGGGAAAAGACAAAATAGGGAAAAAGATGAAATAGGAGAAAGGATAAAAAGTGAATAGTGTCGAAAAACGAAAAATGTGAAAACGACTCGGTCCTCAAAGGAAGTTGTCAATCCACAGAAAACAGTCTCGGAAATCACTCCAGAGCACTTGAGACGACATTAAGCGACGAGGAACTGAACTCAGAAAGGAAAGACAACGGAAAAAAATTATTCGTGAAAATCCGAATTATTACAATTGGTGAATGTTTATATGTTTATTGCTTATTACGTTACTGTTTATGGGAGGTGGAAGCATGTTTAAATGCTAAATGTTAAGTGTAATTAGATGTATGATTAATAAAATGATTGATTTCCTAAAGCATAGTCAATTGACTATGTGCTTAATTGTTTAAATGTTTATTATCAATGAAGGCATGCTATATGTGAAAGTATGATTGATAGTTGAGTATGCATATGTAAACAAGTATTATGAGACAGTATGATGATTAACTAAGCGCAATAAGTATGATTTCATTTTGAGTCATGACTGTATGTCTAAATGTACGTTGTGGTCATTTATCCATGATAAGTGCTCAAATGTGAAGCATTTTAGCACCTAAGCTAGGGTATTTTAGTTCATTCATCTATCTTACTTTCATGTCTTAGATACTTATTTGTGTTTTTGCCTATTTTAGGTCAATAAAGTACAAACAGGCTAACAAGAGCCATTTAGCTCAATTTTGGAGCTAAGGAATAAAGTTGGAAAAAAGCCAAGAAAATTACACAAGAAGAGCTTCGATCGATCGAAGGGAATCCCGATCGATCGAAGAGGTCTACAATTGATGGAGATGAGACAGTGCCAGCTCAGCTAAATGGATAAGGCCAAAGAAGATATTTTCGAGCCACGTCAGCTTCGATCGATTGAAGCTAAGTGTTGGATCGATAGAGAATCTTCGATCGATCGAAAATGCTGTTGGCAGTGAGCTGTCTAATTCCCGAGCGCGCCAATTTCTATCTAACTTGTGTAGCTGCGAATTTCCTCCAATCATAGGCTGTAATTCTGACTTGGTCCTCACTCAAAGGTGTATGTAATTGATTTATTGAACCATATTGTTGGATATCAAGAATAGATAGAGATATTACCAATTATAGAAAAAATATTCCTCTCTCTAGAACTAGGGTTTTTGCGAAGAAAGCAAGGATGAAGATGATAATGCCAACCTACAAGCTAGCCCTTGAGGGTTCCATGACCACTATAATGAGTGGCTAAATCCTTCTCTTGGGGCTAGAAATAGCCCCTAGGCTTGCTTCCTAGACCTAGTTTTGGTGTATTTTTGGGGATTTTAGTTGTGATAGATGTTTTAACCTTAAATTAATATAGATCTTGTGATTTCTACTTGATTTGTATGGATTAATGCTTTCAATTGATCATTTATTTCTATCCGTATGTCTGTGTATGCTAGAATGAATGTTCATGTGCTTTTCTTTAGATTTAATGAAATTAATGCATGTCTATGTGTATTGATGTTGTTAATCTAGTGATGGTCAAAACATAGTGCTTAATTGAATACTCTTGTGATTTATTTGATGGTTTACACTTGTTTCTTGATGGATTGTACCACACCTTTAGTTTAATTAGTTTAATTTTCATGTCTCTAGCCTAGATGTAGTGTAATTGCTTTAATTTCTTAGGTAGGTGGACAATTCGTTTTTGTTTCTTGATGCTCCATACTTATGAATGCAAAGAGTATATTGTGTGTGCACTAATTGTGGTTTAATTGAATGATCATTGGTTTCATTTGATAGGTTG